ATATATATATGTGTGTATATATATATATATATAGTATATGTATATGTATATATATATATATATATATATATATACACAACATGTGGGTAATTTCCTTTACATGATGTATTATCCTGTAAACATTTCTGCGCTAATTAAATGTTAAATTAAATTCGTTACTGAGAGCAATGATTTATTTTTTTCAGATACATATCGTGTAAAGATTTGTTATCGAATTCTTCTCTTACTATGCTATACTATGGTTTAATTTATAACAGATACTGAATCGTAAAAGACAAATATATTTAAGAGTACAAAAAAGAAGCATATCGTGAGTCATCTATTTTTTCTAATGTTAGAGAAGATTTTTCTCAAGTTTGTTAAAATTTAAAAAAAAAAAGAAAAAAAAATATAAAAAATTTGAGGAAACACAATCAAACATAATTTTTCTTCTAAAAACGTGAACAAGAAAGAAGAACAGGGAAAACCTCACCTTCCTGAGAAAGTTTCCAAGGAAGAAGAAAGAGGAAAGCGTGCAACTACCTGCAAACAGCTTCGTCGAAAAGATCGTTGAACGATACGTAGTAATTACTTCAAAACGAGCACCGGTCCAGTTCTATTAACAATATCGGCGATCGTCGATGGCAGATAAGAGCGGTCTGCTCTTTGTATCGATATTGTTACGTTCGATCGCGTAACATTGTCCGATGGGGCGATCTTCGTCTATCTTGAAGATCGCCGTCGATCCTGAAAAAAGAGCATCTGGCCGTATGCTTCCACGTGACCCCAATTTCTTTGTGCCCCGTTACACATCTCCTCTCTGTCGTATCCGGAGATCGAGATTCTGAGAATCTGACAAGATTGACATTGCAAACAAAGGTGAAAAAGTATAAATCTCTTTGGAAAATAGAAGGTACATTATTTTTGTTCATATGTTATAATAGATTATTATTTATTTATTTATTTTTTTTTATAGCCAATGCGTCACACTCTTTACTACTCTTTTTGCATCAGGAAATAATCGCTTCACTTTTTTTTTAATTTAATTCAATATTAAACACAAAATAATTCATAGCGAAGAATGGAAGTACAAAGAAGTGTGAAGCTTATCAACTCGACACCTTCCATCCACGATTGAAATCTCTTCAATATATTTTTATCATTTTTTCTTTTCTTCTCTCTTTCTCTCTCTCTCTCTCTTCAGGATAATTTCTTCCTAAATCGCGTTTAGCTTTCAGAATTCGTCAAGATGGTTTTTAAGAGGTTCTAAAAAGCATCGAAAGATCCTTTAATCGGCTCCCTGGGACTGGGCACGCTCTCGAGCATTCTCTCCCCGATTTCAGCCGCCTCGCCTCCCTCTTCCTCGACGACTGGTCTTTTCTTCGATCCGTCAGCGGGGCGGAATAAGAGCAGTCGACGCATGCTCATCGGCCTGTTATAATTTCGGTTCTATTAGCCTCGTAGTGGGACCCCATAAGCCCCGAAGGGATTTCAAGAGATCGTAAAGTTAAGCCCACGGACCCCACAGAGGTATATATACCATCATAGTGCCTCTTCTCGGCTCTCTGTATGAGTGTCTGTTATATACGTGTTTACGTGTGTACGTACATATGTGGACATGTGGTTTCTATACATAGAATCTATCAGTGGTACTCAGCAGCAAGGTTTTAAGATGGATAGATTACTTGGTGACGCGTGCACGATTGCACAAGGATAATTTGATAATTATAAGTTGTAGAGGGGTTGTTGGTTGGTGAGGGAAACATCAACATTGGGATTGGGAATTGGGGCAGAAGATAAAAGTGTGAAAAGTATTTATTATGATGGTATTTTGACACTGGTATTTATTATAATTGTATTGGATGATAACGTTGGATGATGATTAATTATAACATGATTATTTATTTATTGAAGAAAGTATTTTAAGGAAAATCTCGTGTATTATTTTTTATTGTGCGCCAGTAAACGTTTAATTAACATTGAAAATATTAATCCAATTACATTCAATGTTATTGATTTAAAAAAATAATAGGAATAATGATGGTTAATCGATAAACAAAAATCCTGGCAAGTTAAAGAGGTATTACTATAGTTTATAAAATAATTATTTTATCATCAGTGATGTAAATATCAATAGAATGTCAAAATTGTTGTATTTCTTCTAATCGTTCAAAATGAAATGAAAGATAATGAAAAAAGGCGAAAAATATTTTATACTTTGTGAGTATCACTGGTTTATGAAGAGGCAAAGGTTCGTGAGCTTTATAAAAAGCAAAACTGTCTGTGAAGAGGGTCCGTTCAGGAGTACAACGTCAAGTAGCATCTTGACACGGGAGTTCACAATGGCTACTTGTTAGCTCGACACGTCAACAGAGAAAGGGAACGACACCAACGGGACCCGATTCACCTTTTCAAACGATCAAATACACTTGTCCCGAGTACGCTTTTTTCAACATCTTTTAAAAGTTACTTCATCAAAATTCTCTAAAGTATGGAAAAAAAATAAAGAAGTTGATATAATTGGAAAATAAGGAAGTCGTCACTCTTTCTACGTTAAATGCAGACAAGATCTTATTTATTTATCATACGTGAAATTTTACAATACAGTTTCACAAAAATCACAATTAACAATTTTCAGAAAAGAATAGACAAATTAAAATTTGTCAAAAACACGTTTTGTTAAAAATTCCTCCATTTTTTTCTCGTGAACACAAAATTCATTGTTAAAAATGAAAAATAGACGAAAGACAATAGGCAGGTGCTTTAAACGCCCTATTATTATTATTTGTCTGCAGAAAATTGTGAAGAAATTTCGGAAGAGGATCTTTATACACGTGTAAATGGCGAACGCCGGTGGTGGAAGCGGATAATAAGTTTGACGGCGTTACAATGCAGTCATTACGCGCCGATAATGATGGCGCATTCAAGCACGAACGAAGGTGAATCGCAATGCACCACCGGCCCCTATACGTTGCATCTGGCCGCTAACAATAGCTTGTGAACGTTGCGCCACCCTGCGAATCGTTATGCGGAAATTAACGATGCCTGTTCGTGGTGCTCCTCGAAATTACACATTGACAGGAGATCGCCTCTAATGTTTGTTCAAATCGATGAAAATATCATGTGTTTGCAACGTTATCCCTTTTAAATTATAAATCGGAATATTTAAGTGTGCAGAATTTGAAAAGATTCTATACTTATACTATAAATAATTAGAAAGCAAAAGAGAAGAAATTTGACAATGAATTAAAATAAAAAAGATTGATAGAGAAGTTTATCCTGATCGTTTGAAAAAATTTTAATCTGTATTCTTATCAGACATGACACAGAACTTATCTTGATCACTTATAAAATAATTACATGTATCTGTATTAATTTATAATTTTTCTACAATAATTTACAACAAATCCCTCGTCGAACATTTAGATATGTATACTCTTGTAAACTAAATTTACAATTTAAAATAACATAAAATAGCAAGAGCAGGGAACGTTCCTTAAATCTTTAATCTTAAATCTCAATAAATAAATCACGGAATATAGGATCATCCTAGGTGGCAATCGAAAACGCGTCGATCAGATCCCATTGATATTCCACGGACGTTATCCGGATCAGGAGGCGGCGAACGCGTTAGATCGGCGTTTAACCAGGGCATCGGTGTAAATTACGAGACACGACGAGAGTCGTCCCGGTCGGCACGGTGTTGCTTAGACGAACGCACCGCTTTTCGAGGTGGGAGAACGATTTCGAAGGGGGGAATATTTATGGGCAGACCGGCTGAAATTAATTTATGCAGCCGCATAGGCTGCCACGTAATTTATTCGCGGTGCTTGCGACGATCAGTCACTCTCTTCACTGGCTTTTGTGTGTAAGAAAATCCTTGCCCATTAGAAACGATCACGAACAACCTTCCTCCACCTATACATACACGTATACGTACGCTCCTCCCACCCCTTGTGTATGATACTTCTTGTTTCATCAACGAGTGCTCGATAACGGTTAGTGCGTAAATCTTCATAAAGATCAAGTATTGGATATTGATGATTCTATGGGTGTATAAAAATGATTCTTGAATTGATAGAATTTTTTAGATAAATTGGTGAATATAGAAAATTTACTAAAAGAAAAAAAAAATAAGATGAAAAATAAAATTGTACCTATCATAAATTATAACTTCTTTGAGTAAAAATAAATAGGTAATGTAAGATTTTAAATGAACAATTCTTTTATGCAATATTTAAAATACAATATGAATTTTGAATTGAATTCTATAGACTCAATTAATTTCATATTTTTAAATGTGAAAAAATATTGATATTACTTGGAACAACTAATAAACTAATAACTAACTAATTAATTAACCAACTTCTAATTGAACACAAATTTCCATTAAAACCTACAAAAGATATTTCCTGAGACAAGAAACTCGAGCAAAGTTTTATCGAAAATCGATAGAAAACCATGTCTTGGCAATTGATCGTTATTCGAAACTTCTTTTCGGGAGCGCAGATATTCGGAATAAGAGAATACGCGCGAGAAGAAAGAAGAAGAGCAGCAGCAAGGGATCTCCATGCGGGATCTCTGGTGCATCCGCGTTATGATTTGTGAGGGCCCAGATCCTGATCCTGTCTGCCTGGAAGAGGCACCCACGCTTTCCAGGAACTGCGTCCACCTCGTGTGGACGAGGCTTCTCTCGGAGGCAGAGAGGATGCTGAGGAATGAGGCAAAGGAGGTGGAAGAGCGAAACCTCTAACTTGGTGGGGCGAGTGTTCGAGATCATCCGACCTGATTACACCGAGGGTGTAATGGACGGACTAATTTGTGAAATTTAAATTCCGTCCCCGACGTTTTAACCGCGATGCCGAGCTCGGACGGACCTCGAGGTCGAGATAAATCGCGACCACCCCCTTTTTTTGTAACCGGCCGCGACTTCATAGAATATCCAAGATTCAACGGGAATCTTTCTGGAAAATCGTAGGTGGGCAGGCTTGAAGTGGTGAACCCTGGTGTCGTGTAGTTCCAAAGGTGGGATTGGTGTGCGCGTGTGTTGGTTATCTTGATTCGCGTTTCAAGCCGATCGTCTTTACCCTTTGCCCGGCAATTTGTCAGATCGCTTAATTCCGACTATCAACCAGTCCTTTTCGTTCTCGGGGGTCTTGCTGCAAAAGAGAACACAGATTAGAGAAAGAAAGGTTTTAGAAAGGTTCAGTTGTGGAAAGGTTCAAGAAGAATTGAGTGTTAGCTGTGAAAAAGATTGATAAGAGGAAAGAATGAAAATATTAATTGAAAATTATACATCAATAATCAATATCAAAATGCGTAAAAACAATTCTTCTTAAGAAGCAATATTGAAACGTGGAAAGAATTGTAGAAGCCGGACGATAAGACAATGCTACTCTTCCACAAAGAAGAACAAGAGAAACAAAAAAAAAAGATGGAAAGAAAAGAAAGGAACACCAGGAAGGGAAGTGGTGTACAGAACGATGAAAAGGGATAGAGACAGAAGGAAAAAAAAAGAAGAAAAAATAAAAGGGAGAAAGGGAGAGATGGGAGCATCGGGAGCAAGATGTCGACGGAGTGGCGGATTAGAGGCGGCTTCTCGGTGTATAGCGAGCGGTCCTATTGTCGGTCCGCATAATACGGTTATGATTTAGTTTTGGGTCGTGAGGATCGCAGTGAACGAACGAATGAACGAATGGACCGAAGGGGGCCTGACGTACTCTGTGTCTCACTCTGTGCACTGGATGTTGGCGCAGAGAGGGGAGCCAGAGCTTTTGGTGTCGGGTTACAAGCGGGGCCAGGGCCCCGCCTGGACATCCACACGTCCTCGTATCCGCGGACCCACACGCAGTCGGGACCTTTAAGCGTGCCCATAACTGCGTGTACGGAGGATCACGGTCACGCGTGTCTCTTTCTAATCTCTCTTCATTTATATCTTTGCTCTTATTTCATAGAAAATAGATTAGCTTTTGTTTTGTTCTTAGTTTTTGTGAAATTGATTATTTGTATATATGTTTGATTATTTGTCCTGTGATATAGATTTGTTTTATTCTCACTTGTTTTCAATTTTTTTCGTCATTTCAATGAAACAATTATTCGTGTAATTTTTTTCAAATCCTGAAACAGGAAGGATTTATGTCAGAAAAAGAGAAAGCGTAATTGTAAATATAATTTCCTTAATGAAGAAAATGATTGATAACAACGATCGTTGATTATCATCGATTATTCTAATATCAAGAAAGGGAAAGAGAGAAAAAGAGAAAGGATATACATTATAAGGCAAATTTTTCTAGAATTAAAATAAAAATAACCTGTCACCTTTCGCCACAATGTCCTTTTCTTGCACGACGCGGGTGCACGTTCCGCGAACTCGCGAATTATGAATATGATTATCTCGGACGGGCTCTTGACGGGAAGCCAGACCTGTCCCAGAGGTGTCACCTTACATCCTCCCTCTCCTCCATGGTGTCGACGCTCCTAGGTCCCCTCGTGCTGCTCTCCCGTCCTGACTTGACGCGTGACGTTGCTTCTCGTAACCGAATCTCGCGAATAATTGGACCTCGACAGGTCTCTACTTTTCTTTCGATCGTTTCGCCAATCATATATCTTAGATAATAATTAAAAAAGAAATTAAAATATGAAGATTTATCTACATTTAATATTTAACTTTTTGTATTTGATAAATGTAAAAAAATTTTAAGATTGGAAAATATTATTTTATATTATTGCTAAAAAATCAACTGAAAAATAATACTTATAACAATTAATTTTATTTATTGTTACTTTTATTGAAATAGTTTCTTTGTATTTAGAGTTAGTATTATTTATAGTTTCTTTATATTTATAGTAGAAAACAAATAGATATATTATATTAAATCAATTCTAACCTTTTTTATAAAAATTTTCCAATTTTGTATTATTTTCAAACATTGAATGATTATATTATAATAATATTATATTATTGTGATTAATAGTTAATTTTTTTATTGTTTTTCATATTTGGATTGAATATTTATCATGTTTTTTAATATTTTTTTACTTAATTTTAGCCTAACCTCACAAACATTTTATCCTGAACCATGATCAACCTTGGTTAATATGTAAAAATGTAAATGGTCCAGACGGTCGACGTCCAGCAATAATCTCTGTCTTCAAAAATGAAAAATTCAAAAACCTTAAAATTCTTAGAACGGTCGTTCCCGAATTTCTAGATTCTAGATTCACCGAAAATTAACCAACATCCTGAAATATTATATTGATATAGAATTAGTTCGTAAAATTAAAAATTTTTCGAAAGAAATGTGCTATGAAATATATTTTTAATATAAAAATAATGAATATAATAAATTTTTTGATTGATTGCTTATCCTCACTATTTCTTTTTTATGGATTATATAATTAAACATAATACTGCATTTCAGATTATTATCTCTATATTTTATTTCATTTCATACCAAAGTAGAATTCTTAATAGATATTGATAATTGATCAGATTATTATTGATAGAGAACATTTTTGCAACAATAAATGAGACACAAACCATAACCTAAAATTCTCACTTTTCACTGATTCTTTTCCAAAGATATATATTGCGTTATGATAAATTACACATGTCAAGAAAGATTGCCAATAATTACTATATAAGTTACCAACATATTCGCAAAATATTTAAATTCGAAACGTTTTCGTCGTCCATCTCTCCCGGAATTATACATATAACACATTTCAACTAGAGATGAAAGAAAAGAGGTGCAGGAAGATAGGGGGGAAAGAGGAAGAAAGGAGAATGCAGATGGGCCGTCAGCCTCTTTTCCGCAGGGGCCCGCAATAAATTTAACGGGCCAACGAGGGGGGCAGGGCCGGTTCGCAAGCGACGATAACGATCGAACGAGCGTCAGAGAAGTGCTAAGTAACTACCGATCGTATCGAAGATAGAACATTAAGCTGGAAGCGTTTTCGAACTATACTATATAGTACATGTCTGCTGTTGTGCGCCATCTTTCATAGTCATAGAAATATCTATTCTATCATTCGGCTCGCTATTATCGACGTAGTCAGAAATTGTCACTGACACCACAGAGACCGATACAATGGCTGTCTAGTGAAATCTATAGCATGTGTTTGACGTTTATGAATCGAATTTCTCCATGGATCGACACGTGACAGAGGTAATGTGCCCCCGTCAAGCGCCCATGGGACCGATCTATCCTTAGCTGATACGATATGTCAACGGATTTGTAAAAGGTTTCAACGGTCCGGTCTAATAGAGAACAAATACGACTCATCGTATAAATGTGAGTGACTTTGAATATTAGACTTTATTGTAGAATTTATTGTAGAATTGATTTAAGTGGGATGAATTAGAATGAATTTTAAATTTTTACGGATGAGAATGTTACGATATTTACAATCATTAATTGTTTTTTAATTGTTAATTAAAATGAAATTAAATTTTTAGATTAAGATGCAGCTGATTGCTGCAAAATTGTTTCATATGTGTTTGAATTCTTAATATAGAATTATTGAATCTCAAATAAAGAATTATTTTAATTTTATTCAAATGATTGAGAATTGAATGTCAAACATATAAACGACTATTCTCTTAATTCCCTGTATCGTTGTATACAGTGTGCCGCGTCTATCCCTAATTTCATTCAACGCTCCATAGAAATCCGACTACCTCAAGCCCACCAAACATATGTCGAAGATCTCGTCCTCCTTTCAGTACAATGACACTATGGAATTTCGTGCAGATGATTGGCCAGTCGGTCGACCAATGAAACACGAAGAAAGAATAACGCTATGGGGGTTGATACGCGTGCGCTAGTTTCCTGGGGTGAAATTTATGGGATTAGGTGACTACGCAAACATAATTTCGTTATGATAACTCTTTTCTCTTCTTTTTTCTTTCTTTCTTTTTCTGACGAGATTATGTTGGATTATAGAATAAACTTGACATTTTTTTTATAATACATAAAAGTATTAATCTTTATATTGTTCAAAGTGTAAAGAAAAGATTAGAAAGTAAAAAACTTTTTTAGAAGAAATGAAAAATTTAATTAAAATGAATCAATTTTAAAATTAAATAACATGTATTTAAAATAATGTTAGATGATTAAAGTGAAAGAGAAAAATCTATTTTTCATTTTATTAGTGTTAGTGATGTGATATAGAATTTGCAAAAATGTTGAAAAGTATTTGTTATTTTATTAATTTTAATTTTAAAAAATTAAGTAGTTTTAAAAATTGAATTGTGAGCATTTTAAATACGTGAACATTTTAACGGAATAAAATTTAGTCTGCATAGAAATAGGAGAGTATGTGAGTTACAGTGTCAGGTGAGCGACTGTGGAGTTGATCGTTGGCTGCTTGTAATTCTAGACAGGAATTAAGCGGTGCAGCGGACAGCCGCAGCTTCACCGTTGCAAGCGGTATCGTGGAAAGGACAACTTTGTAATATGATTATGGATGGAGAGATTCAATATCGAAATTAGGAAAATTGACTTTTTAACCGTTCTAATATCTTCATTCATGATAAAGTGATCTAATAAATGAGAACACTATGAATACACATGTATCAATATATTATTTATAGAATATAGATAGAATAGATAGAAGCAGAGTTAACATTTCCAAATAGACATTTATGTTGCGAATCTAATATATACGCGTGAACTAGTTAGAATCTCTTTCAGTCACTGATCCATTCAGAATTACCAACGCAACAACTGAAGGACGTTGTTTTCCTATGACAAATTACACATTTATTCTCCGCTTTCGACACCGCGATATCAACGTGTGTACGTCCTTCCATATGCTCACACATACATGCACACATTATAGCATACCACATCGTTGACCTACCCCACTGAGAATCATGTTTCAATACAGAAATCGAAAACCATATCATTGCGTTGAAGCTTCGATACGTAGCATGCGAATTCGATATATCGATCTTTGATTTTCGGTTTTCGATTTTCGATATATATATTGTTACTTCCTAATCTGCGTAAACGTTCGCGTGTATAAACGATTAATCATTGTGCGTGCTATTTAATAAATTTATTTAATAAATCTTGTAAGTATATATATATATATATACAACAAAATTATAATATATATTATTATGATAATTTATTTGTTCGATTTTCTATATTGCGAAATTTTCTTTTCGTTTTATATGATTCTGAATGAGGTTAAGTTAGGTTAACGTACATGTACAAAATGAGCTCATTTTATATGCATTTTAATTAAAGATTTTATAATCATTTTTTATATTTGTGTAATTGTAATTTGTGTTGTATATAATTAAATAATTTCTTTAACATTTCAAATTTCTTTTCGATCACTAAAAAATTTTTTATATTATTTATCGAACATCGATTGCTTCCGAAAACCACATTTCTCACAACCAATGATTACACAATGCGATTTCGCGGTTTTATTGCGGTGCTTATAGGTTGAACAATTTTTAAAAAAAATATGCTATGTAGTATCTATATTATATTATTTATAATATTATATCTGTAATATTCTATCATAGAAAAGATTCATAATATATAATATTCAGATAATATTTAGAATTCAAAAATAAATACAAAGCTTTTCAATCATTCTTATAAGAATAACTTATAAGATAAAATAAACTTTTTAATAATAATTTTATTATTATAAATTTATGTAAAAAAAGTTTCCATATCTAAATATTAATATTATTAATTTACTAGAACATAGATATAATCTACCAATTAAAATTATATATATATATATATATTTATCATTCTAGGGATTATAATATAAGCAGTTCCGAATCGCTCATACCCTAGGAACAAGGAACGAACAATTGTCGAATGCAGGGCAAAATTGACCACGTTGGTTACATAATGGGCCTCCTCGTGCTTCGTCAAATGGTGGGCAGTGCGAGTATTTAGATGAGTTGACTCCAATTGGCGTACGTACCGTGAGAATCCAGTATCTAGCGCGTGGACCATGTGTGAACCGACCGGACGGGGAAGAAAAATGGGTGAACTAATCATGCAAATTGGGCACAATGTTATGTAATTCTGGTCTATCTTCAGCCATCCGCCTGTTTGAATCTCGAACACAGACGTCCAGTTATAATAGCTTGCATTTGGAGCAATTAACGGCATCTCCATCGAAATTAGTTTGACGTCGAGGTAATGGAAGTAATGTTTCTAGTATTCATGTTCTGGTTTAATCATAAGTTCCTTGTCCTACTTCTAAAAGTAGATTGCTTGATTCCATCACTAGGAAAAATTCTAATTAGTGTATAGTTTTCTTGAAGTCATATCAATATTTAATCTAACAAATTAACATTCAACAAGGATAAGAACATAAAAATAAATCACAAATAAAAAATATAATAATATTATAGTAATATGAAGATTACAAAATATAAGTAAATTTTAGTAGTAAGAATTTAAATTTAGAATTAATTTTAAAGAGATTTTTTTAAATTAGAAAAATAAACATAAAGAATTAAGTTTAGACTAGATTTATAGGTTATGTATAAACTAAAAGTTTAGGATTAATTCTAAGTTAAATTGAGGCTAGCTTTCGATTAAGTTTATTAAGTAACTACATTCAAGAAAAATTTAAACTAAATTTGAAGCTTGATATTCCAAAACTTTCAAACAAAAATATATACATGTAACAATAAAAAATGCTGGAAAAATCAGATAGACATTGTGGACTGTGGTTCGCGAACAGATTTGAGTGAGGAACGGAAGAAGAGGTTCGGAACGATTATGCAGCACGACACGATGCGCAACAAGGAGGGACAAGGAGATAGAGGGAAGAAGATAGAGAAAAAAGAGAGAAAGAGAGAGAAATACACGGTGCATGCTGCGAGCAATGTGCGAGGCTTCGCGCGGCCGTCAATTACGATTAATTAGAGCGGAGACTGACAGCGGACGCAGCGACGGCTACTTAATACTTTAACTTGTCCCCAACCCTCCACCCGTTCACTTCCTCCGTCGTCGTTGACGATGACGAATCGACCGGAGTGCGTCGAGAGCGCGTCGTTTCGTTCATCGCGAACGATCGTGGAATATCATATACATCCCTTTCTCCTTTTTCTTTTGTACCGTTCCTTCCATTCACGAAACGTGAGATGTTACGTTCTCGTAACGCCGCGAGGAAAAAGTCGCCATAGGAAATTCAAGCTTCTGGCTTCGGGCTATGCGTATTCCACTAATAGAATGGTGCGTTCATTGAAAGATCTTTTTTTTTTTCTTTTTTTTTTTAATTTATTTTAAGAATATTTAGATAATAGGAAATGAAAAATATTTATAATTTTAATTAATTGAAATAAAATCAGAAATTTTTATTACTATTTTTATCGTAGCAACTTTTGAATTTGAATTTTGATTAGACAAGAAGGAAAATTTTTGAAAAATTTTGAAATAAAGAAATTAAAAATTAAAAAAAGTAAAAAAATGATAATGATAATATTAAATATATCGATATAGGGAATGATACAAAATAGTATTGATATAGGAAATGATACAAAATAAAGAACTTTATTTATTTGAATCTATTGAATAAAATGGAATTGATAACCTATTGATAAAAATAGACTGAATAGAATTTCACGATTTTACGATTTTTCTCATGATCTCTCGACTTTGAAGTATTAACAACATGTTGATATAGACGCTTGATAATAACCGTAATTAACTATTTAATACTGCAATTTAGAGAGAGAGAAAGAAAAAACTTTTGCATTATTAAACAGATACAATTAAAGCAGAGAATTAATACGAATGCGTCATTTCACGGTTTCAGATTCGTTCGTTACGCATCGTATCGACCTTATATTAAGAACAGTGTTTTTATGCTTGTTACAAGATATAAAATCATAATTGTAAACGCAATTATCCCGATTATATAAACTATGTTCCATCATGAATTTCTAACTGTTCTAATAACATAGCAACAAATTCGAAATCATTAATTATAATAAAAATATTCGAATGATATAATTATTTTATGTCATATGTGAAAAAAAAATCTTACATATTAGTCACATATTAATTTGACAAATAAATATATATACAAGTGAGGAAATTTTTTTATTAATAATCATATATAAATATAATGTATTTCTTTTTCTCTTTTTACGTGTAATTTATTCTTCTTCAATCTTTATAGCTATACATCTAATCGCGTAATAATTGAATATTATAACGAACAATCATTTTTCCAATGTTCATAAACGGAAGTAGTGGAAGTAAGGAAAAAAGAATGGAGGGCGAAGACGCATTTGAATGATTGCGCTCGTTGTCGGTCTCCTTCGCTAATTGAGCCATTGTCTAGGTCTGGTTAGGCACGTCTAAAAGCCTAATGGCCGTTTCCTAGAGACGCGCCAGCCCGAATACAGAACGAATTAGAATAATTCGTTCCGTCTGGCTGCGTCAGATCGTGCAACGTCGTTCACCGTCAGTTAAGAGAAAAACCTGTCCTGTCTCTCTCCCTCTCTCTTCCCTCATTCATCAAGAATCAGTGGTTCCGCTTTAAATTTTCGACGCTTAACTTCCATTTCAACGGTGTATACACCACGTTATGTATCCTTGCTTTTTGTGTAAACACCACTTTTATCCGATCACGCGGATGTTTTTCATTAAAACCGAACCGATATGGGCGAAAACATTTTATCGTTCGCCGATTCTTCCTGCTCGGACGTAAATATTTTATACGATGAAAAAAAAAAAGCATCGAGATAAATATCATTCAGATCACGTAGCGGATTTATCGCAATAACAGATGTTTCGATACATTGTATTCGACGTGGAGGGCTATAATTTATCCATAGATAAACATAGAAAACTTTAAACGCCCGTTATAACGTTAAATGATCGACGATAAAAGAAAAAAGAAAGAAAGAAAGAAGAAAAAATTCACTGCCGACGAATGTAACGACGATCGATCGACCATTCTTGGAAAAGTCCAAGTCGATCCCGAGCAGGACTCGAAAGACCTCGAAGAACGGGTCTTCTTCCTTTTAATTTCTAATTTCATTACGGATTCTCGAGCAGCCCCATAATGGCCTCGATACGCCATAGGCCATCTGGCACGATCTCTAAAAGATCTATATCTATATCATACCGATCGAGGATCGATCAACGGAATGTCTAAATAGCCTACGTCGCCGTACGATCGGCCGATTTCGTTCGAAACTCCATGTAATCATGCTACATTATTTAGTCAAATTTACATGGCAAATTGCACGAATAAACGGATCTAATGTTTTCTTCCTGTTGGAGGAGCGATGCAACAACAATGGATTCATTTGGGTAAACATGAACGCATTTACAGAAATATTCCGGTGTTACTAAAGCGAAGGATTTATTATTCAAGTAAAACGAAAAATTGAAACGCATCGATTTGTTAATCGCAACTGTTAAGGAAAAGATTCATGATGACACTTTTAAATTTTTTTAAAAATTTTATATTTTTTGTTAACTTATATTTTTTTAAACACGAAATCTCGTTTCTGGATTTCTAGATTTAGAATTTTCGAAAAAATTTCTCGTGAAAATTATCTCTTGTTGAATTCTTTTGGTACAAAGTTGAATTTTTCGGTAGCAAAAATTTTGAGATGTAGAAATGGTTAATATATAAAAATATTATATATAATAATATATAAAATTTTATATATAAAATATAGATATCCTGTATTTTATTTTCGTATTTCACAAATCCAAAGATGCTTTAGTGAATAATTTATTTTTTCTCTTCTTATCAATAGATTAAGAGTTGAACAATTAATTGTTCAAACTCCTTCAAGAAGGTTCGATATTCTTAGGAAGACCAGATATAACTATGATGTAAAGGGATAGAAGGGGAGGAGTGTTGCGTTTCGTGATCGTGGTTGCTGAATAAGATTTTTTCCAGGGAGTGATGGAGGTAAGAATCTTACGGGCGATAAGGCACACATTAATTGAAGAATAACATCCGGCATGGAGCTGGTGGCAGACCGTCGTGACATCATTGTTTACAACCGAACGAAAATGGAATTAAACGAATCACCCAATGACCAACCTATTCAAGAGCGAAAGGGGTAATTTTAGAGTGATAACATTAACGAGAATTAGTCGGCTGTGCCGATAATTTCAAAAGAATTCGATTCATGGTGACCTATTTTCTTCAAATGTTTAGTAATCAAACAGGAATCGATACTTAAAGAAAAAACGTTCTTCGTGGTATGTATATTTTTGATGTAATTCTTTAATGGCGAAGAATGCGTAGAATGTTTATCAAATTAAATCATTTGAAATTCATTCGAATAAATTCAATTCGTTTTGATTTTTTTTTTTTTCTAATTCAATAATCAAGTGAAAAGAAATATTTAAAAAATGTTCACTTTTGTATTGTATATTTTTAATTTAATTCTTATACGATGAAAAATTTGTGGAATTTTTATTATAAAAATGGAACTTAATAAAAAATAATTATAATAAAATAAAATAAAATAATTATTGAATATGAGAATATAGAAAGTATTGTTTCATTCTAATTTGATGTAATATTTATACTACGATTTTATATTTTCATCTTTTTTTTTTTAATTTAGTTTCTTCATACATGATTATAAAAAAGAAATAGAAATAGGAAATGTTCATTGAGCTTAATCGGAATATTAATTGGAAGAATATTATTCAATTATAATTTGAATAATGGAAATTTAAAAGATCAAATTCATCGTTCAAATTGATCATAGTTACTGTTATTTTGCTAACGATCGATTATGAGCCAATGGAGCCTGTCCACCTGTCGTGTTCGATGAGAAAGCAATTCTGACCCAGCAGCGGAACTAATAGCTTTGACGAAGAACTAACGTCTGCACATTTAATTAGATAGAAAGATATTGCAACTAAATGAATGCACATTTATTCTATACGTTATAAAACAAGAATAAAATAAATTGCAAACATCAGATTATAAATAACTGAAACTTACATTAATTGCATTACATTAACAAATATAAATATTTCAATAACAAAAATTAAACTAAACTAAAAAATTATTGAATTTTCAAATATCATCAATCTTCAACATTACCAAAAAGTCAGAAAGTGAGAGACTATCTTTTAAGGTAACTATAGATATATCAAAATCACAAATAAATTTCAAAATCAATCTAAATGCCATTTTCATCATCAGATACTGCCCCTAAATGATCTATGGAAAAAATGTAATGGCCAAGCATGTGGCAAAAAGATGATCCTCTCGCAAGTTTCAAGAGGAGAACAAGAATAGAAGTATAATTTAGAGCGAGAAGCGAGGGTTCCAGGGTCATCCAAGAGGGCCTCGTTTTATGATCTTTCTTCAACCGGCAGGAGCCATACACGATTAGGAGTCGAAGGATCGATGGATAAAAAAAAATAAAGAAAGTCGATGATGATAAAGAAGATTGGAGTTAAGAAATGGAAGCTTGCTAAGAACGAATAGCTGTGCCAAATTAACCATGATTTATAGAGATGGCCAATATTCCATTCTATTAACATCGCATTATCCTTCCGTCAAATTACATATCGACGACCCGGTTTTTTCAGAAGCCGATCCTGGCACAAAGTAACTTTTGCATTCATCGTTTCGTTCATCTCGAGATCAATCCACTCCCTTGTTACTCTATCTTAGTATCTATAAATTGTTTATGTGAATGATTGATTTTTTTTTTTTTTTACTTATTTATTTAACGTAATACTTAATTTTGCGTATACAGTTATCTCAATTTTTTTTTATTTTTACATTTATTTTTTCAATTTTCAAATTATTCTTGTTCTATGAATATCTAAATCTTTCTGTTATCGAAAGATTTAAAACAATGGGAGGAGATACGCTTTCTTATTTGCTAAACTATTTTATTCCAAATAAACAAATATGATATGATTAAAATTATATAATATGATTGATCATTAAAAAAAAAACCGAAATTTTTCAGTTTTTCTTCCCGATTACCGTTCCAAGGTGTACAGGTATCCAATATAGTACGATCGATCACCGATTATAGCTCGGGATAGGCATGGTGTACAATGTTGCACTCTATTGGTTGGTTACATATCGCAACATTATACGTATATGCGGCCGGGGCATCAAGTTGCAGGCTGCAATGTGTATACGCGTTTAATTAATTCGCCCGTACACGCGCCATATGAATCTCATTCCCGTGTAGTTCGGTGAATTTCCCAAACGAACGTAAGTAAAGCATATTTCGCATGAAAATTTTCTATGTTAATTGCTGATACTCGATACACAGAGTTTGAACGTTCGATTCCAGTACAGATTAAGATCAAGGATGATATGGATGATGTAATAACAACGAGTCAATTTTATACGTTTAATTGGGACAATTTAACATGCATTTATGACCAGAATCGATTTCACTCACGTTAATTATCGAAGGAATTATCGAATGAATTAAGCGTAGGTACTTAAATTCACGCATAAATCTAATACTTATGTGATCAATTCAGTGTGATTATTTTTCAGATATACAACTATTATCAGATGTAGAAATATATTTTAATGTGCTTCAATTATATATCCGCTAATTATATTGCCTTTTAATATGTATAAACAATTTCACATAGATAATCATAGAAATGAAATATCTAAAACCAGAAATAAATAAAAAAATATCGTAACATGCCGATTTGTCAAAGAAAAAAAAACAATTAAATTTTAAAACAATTACAAAAGAATTAATTCGCCAATAAATTAATCCTTAAATTTTCATCTACACAGGAAACAAACGATCGAAAAGAAAAAGAAAATTCTATTCACATCCCACGAAAGTGGCAAAATGACAATCATTCTATAAATCTTAACCGTATATCGTAATGCGGGTGGAGACCATTATCCACGAGCGCAAAGCTGTGCACACCAAGGAAACAAATAAAGAAACAAGAGAGAGAAGAATAAAGAAAGAATAAAGAACGGCTTGGACAAGGCGCATCGCGTACGCGCGCGTAGCTCGTGTCCGGTCAGCCGTTAAGAAGGAAGCTCCAGGCCGATGTCGAAGATAAGAGCGGGGACGTGTCCCTCTGTGCGTGGCATTCTCGTGGAGAGAAGTGGTACCGAAGTTCGGGGACCAAGTGTGCCAGGCCCTCACGTAATCCACGGATACGTCGCGACGAATTTGTACGTCTGCCCAATGAGCCAGAAGCCACCCTGCGTTAGCCTCGTTTCGCGTTCACCGTTCGTCTCCTCTTTTCGGCCCGTGTTCCACTGCTACATTCCTCGCCCGCTAGTTATATACATGTATACATATACATATATATATATATACACGCGCGTACATACATACATTCATACATATATGTATATAGGAGAGAAGCCACGAACTGGGTCCCTCTATCTTCAAAATGGCTACCGTCTCCGCATCGGTGGGCAGCCGATGTAAACTACAAACGCTCCTCTCGAGCACAACGCTCCCCTCGATCGCGTCGCCGGTTTTTTGGATTTCTTCGAAGTGGCACGCTCGGAGAAGACGTCGATGAATTTTGAATACGTACTGGATGATATAGAGTGGTTCACTAAATCGATGCGATTGAAGATAGGCTCTTTTTTTTAATCGATACGATAGATGATTTATGACATTGAATTTAGAAAATTGAAATTTTGCTTTGTCCATCATTCACCGAGGAATCTTCCATTTGTTTCCATAAAGAAACTTCTAAAAGAAAAGATAATTTTTTTATTTTATATAGCGTCAAGATTGAATTCAAATTTCCTTGTCTTATTTCCAAAAATTGAATCGACTCTTCTTCTAATATTGCGTAATGCATCATGTTACATTTCTTCAATCCTCCGTCAATCGGATAAAAATTATTTCAACGAAACCTGTATATGCATATATGATATCGAATCGAAATCCTAAATATCATTGGTAGCATCGTGGTATTCGCGAATGATCGGAAAATCTGTCTATCGTTAAGAAGGAAGAGGGCGAGTTAGAATGAAACGATTCGTGAAAGGGGGAGTGACAAAGAGAAGGAGTAGGGAGGGAGTCGATGAGAGAGAGAAAGAGAGAGAAAGGAGATCACGGAGCTCGTGTTTCCGGCCGGGTGAACAACAATGCCCGCAGACAAATGAGCATCCCGCCTCCATTGTTCGCTTCATCGGCACGGCGCAGCCTCTCTCTCCCCTGTTACCCACCCTGGTTCCGCTTACGCCCCCCTATCCTTCCCCCATTCTTGTTTCTCCTTGTCCCTCCCTTTACCTCGTAAATCGAAAGCCCACGTCCTCGTCCTCGTCGTCCTCGTCCTCGTCCTGGTTCTCGTCCTCCATCGTCATCATCGTCATCGTCGTCGTCGTCGTCGTCGTCGTCCAACAGCCAGGCTGGGGGGTCCTCGATCAACCTGATGCGGGCCAACACCGATTAAACATCACTGCTTCGTCGAATCTCCGTCAACGTGGGCCCCCTCCACGAGTCCCTCCTCACGAAGAGGTAGGGTTCCCCACGGTGCCACTCTCTTTTGTCCCCAGAGCGCGAGTTCCACCGTGGTTCTTCTCTATTTTTACGCTCATTGTCTTCTTCGTGCGCGCTCAATGAAAATAACGCACGCCGATGCCCCGATCGTATTATACCTCGTCGATAAAAATTCCACTTTTTTGATCTCTTTATTATCTATTTATTGTTATCTTTTGTTGATGCTTTTTTCCTTCTTTTCTTCTTATCCTATCTTTTCTTCTTATTCCCTTTTCGTCGTTTTTCTTTATTTAAATTATTTCATTGGTTGCTTTGCATTTATTTTATTTCAATATTTTTCGTAACGTTTTTGTTTTTGTGGTTTGTATATTATTTAACATTGACCAAGATTAATTTCTTAACAATCCTATTGTTATTAATATTTTATTCATTAATAATTTTATTTTCAGCACTGTGAATTTTATTCAGTTCAAAAAAAAAAAATGATTTAAGTTATGATTGCGTTGTCCTTGTATTTCGTTTGTACTACTCTATAATATCTTCTATTTGCGATTATTATAATATTTTTAATTTAATATTTATAAAGAATAAAAATAATTCATTTAATTTTTATTCTTCATTTCTAATTATTTCAATATATTAACTTATTTAAAATAAAAAAGTATAAATTTTAGAATGAATAAATTTATGCAGAAATTATAATAATATATATTTATTATAATAAATAAGAATAAATAAAAAAAGAAAAATCGATAAAAGGCAAGGAACAATAGAAAAATAAAAAAGTGTTGTTCATTATATAAGTATATATGTAATGATCGAATTATTTCATTACAAAATTAATTGACTTCTAATTTCTATTATTAGTTAATATAATAAAATGGAGAGATCACTGTTATTCGATCGAATAAACTACGTTATTATTGCATGTTTATTAGACTGACTATACTGGATCGAACAATGCTATTTTATGCAAAAACATAATACACAAATCGCATCGTATGTAAATGTAAATTAATTATGATTGTATTTTGATTATTATATGAACATTACGATACAGTTCGAATAATAATATGAAAATGAAAATGCCGCAACGAGAGTCTCTTAATTTTGGTTATAATTTCCATTCATTTTGGATGTAACGGTATACAGTATGAAACCTTATTTAAACAAATAAAATAAATCTTTCGATAAAAATAACATTTGCTATTCGCTGTTAACACATTATTTTCAAAAATAGCTATGCACACGTTACTTCATTATTTTTTTAAGGTTTGCGAACATAAAACTTTATTATTTTTAATTATCAGTATATTTATTCATTAATTTTTTACTCTTTTAATTTTTTTCAGTATTTACTAATTATGCCATTTAAAAAAAACCATACATTTATTTTTCTACATTATATCTCCTTTTTTCATTTCTAATCTTAAATTCTTTTCCTTTTCTAAAATAATTCAAATGAGTACATATAAAAATTCATAATTAATTTAAATATTATTGAAATGGCTAATTAAATAAATTATTCATATAAATTTATATTATTATTATAATGTGCATATGAAAGATTCTTTCGTTTATATTAATCAATCTACAGTGAACGGTCATCCAGTATGAATTTTTGGATACACGACTGACAATAAGAAGGTAACGCGAGAGACTCGAAGGGCCAGATGTGCAAGGATTCAACATCTTCGAGCCCATTCATGGCTCCCGTGGCAGAACACCTTACTCGAACCACGTCGACCTCCTGCACCACAGAAATTCGATACTGCTCGGAACCTCGGCCAGTGTATAATGTCTTGCTTATATATTATATATATATATACTTATTTTATTTTGTTCTAATTTCTAATTCTATCGAACAGTTAAACATGAATAAAGTTTACTTTATATTGAGTATATTATTGATAGTTTCTCTACAATTTATGTATTCATAGATATTGTATATGACAATCTAGATTATCAACAATCAATTTAGGTTATTAAGAAAAACATTGTTTTTTTATTATATATTTATATATATTTTATATATTTGATAATTTAATTTTCTTCTTATTAAAATGTCAATAAATATTACAAAAATAATGATTCTAATGATTAATGACAAATTATAATTGTAATTATTAGTATGTTGGATGATTCATCTGGAAAATTTCTTCAACATTAATTTTGAGTTTTTTATTTGTCATTATTTGATTTATTATCAAAAGCTTTCATATCATTTAATAATTCATCATATGATTCTTCTATTATATCACACATTTCTGGACTTCTATTTTAGAAAAATAAAGTAATAATCTTTGATCTCTAATCAGTCCTTCAGCATTTATACTTACGTGTGCTTAGCATGATCATAACAAAATTTACATCGTTCACCTGCTGCAAGTGCTATTTTGTCTAATTTATGTTCCTTAAATAACTTTAATTGATTGTACCATTTTCTTTCATGTTTTGAATTTTCATGTTCCTCTTTTATTGACAACTTTTTATCTATAAATTTTTATATATATAATTTTTTTATATTACATATTTATATTTTTGGTTTTATATATATACATATAAAAATTGAAATGAAAATTGAAATTCAATAAAACTTGTACTTCCTTATCATATTTAATTCATTATATTCTTAATATTTTTATTACTATTTATAAATTATCTTATAAATTAATTTATGAAAGAAATGAAATATAATTACCTAATATTACTTTAAAAGGCTCAAAAGGTTTTGTTTCTTCTATAAATTTCCAAAAATCTTTCACTTTTTTTTTTTTACTATAACTTATAATTTTGTCGAATGTTAATTCTATACAAATTCTATCTTGCATAATTATATTTGAATATGCCGCTGATTTTTTATCTATAAAAACGTCACTTCCGATTAAAAAATGTTACTAACATAATTGAAGATATGTGAATGGGATATCTAGTGACATTTAATATTATGTTAGTTTGGTTATCTAGTCGATAATATATCGTAGAAATTATATGATTTTTATATTTAAGTATTTCTTAAAAATTACATTAAATATTTTAGTAGATTTATTAATATGTATAAATTTTAAGTATCAACAATGATTATAAATAACATTATCATATAATGGTAAAACAGATTGAGAGCGGCAGTTTTTAAAAAAATTAGTTTCGACACTTTACAAGAAAAGTGTGTCTTTAAACAATTTATTATTACAAATTTTATTCGATGAAAGAAATAATAGAATATTTCGATAAAATATAACAGATTGCTTGTATATATTTTGACGTGAATCGAAAATTAAGAAAGAAAAATAAATTAACTGTACAAGCGATGATGTCATTGCCCCGACAGGTTATGAGTAGTGCGCGCCGAGGATGTCAAGATGGCTGCCACGTACATCTGATCGGAGGTGTGTGCGCTCGCGAAATTTGACGCCAAACTGTGATAAAAGGGGCTGTCTTTTTTGAGTTCCTGACATGGTGACAGTGCGGTATTAGTCGGTTTGTATCCATGAGCACTACTTTGTACACCCTCGATGATAATTTTTGTCGTCGCGGCCGCCGGCGGCTCGCATTGAACCATGTTCAGCAAAAAACTTCATGTAGACGTCAAAAAGTCAACATTGAAGATTCAGGATGTTAAAAAGGATAGTGCAACCCGATTCAAACATCTTAAAATCGTATTAGGTAAGACTATATTTCTTTTTAATTTTTACCATTCTACGAATCAGTTAATGTTAATTTGCCGTGAAAATTAATCACGAACGAGGAATTTCACAGTGCCAATTAATGAATACGACGATAGTTAAAGGAGAGGGGCGGCAATTTTGTTAGTATTTGCCGCCTACACATCAGCACCAAGGCAATTTTATACTGTCGTAGATCTTCTGGAATTTTTCATCGAAAATACAGCCTGATGATTTTTCATTATTCTCATTGTATTTGTTCAGCTTCTGCTACCAATTACTATTATAATTATTGTTAAAAATGTATATAAATATAAATATTTTAACATTTTTTAAAGAACATTTTATATTTTTTAAATTTTGCATTTAATAAAAATGAAAATTAAATAAATAATTTTGCGAATAAATATGTTCATTTTAAATTGAGAAAAATATTAGAAAAAAATTTGTATAATATTTTAAAAAAATAATTATATAATAAATTATTAAATATCATTGAATATCGTTATATGGTTTATTTTAAAAAGAAAATAATTTACTTGTATGCAATTATAATATGATAGCGTAATGTTAAGTAGTAGTATCTAATCACAAAACCGCATGACCACACTAACCAACTGTGGCCTCCAATTTCAGCTAATATTACATTATTATTATATATAGATAATACTGTATGCTTAAATGTAAAATCATCATAAACCAATAAAAAATCTTGTTTATGAGTTAGAATATTATTGAGAGTATATAATTCATAATTAAAAAAAAAATTCTATATATGCTATATATTATTTTATTTTTTATAAAACTCTTAATTTCTTAAATATAATTATATTTTTTATATTTGTATTATATGAAAAATAAATATTTATTATAATTTTAAAAAAATATAAAAAGTTATTTTTATTTTCATATAAATATGCATGTTACTATTTTTTATAAAATGAAATGAATAGAATTATGTTATTTTATACTCATTTATACATATATATATATATATACAAATAATAATCAAAATATAGAAAAAACTTTTTACATAGGCATAACTATATAAAACTGATGATGATGTAACAAGAGTTTTATAGTTCTCCCTATAAATTAAATTATGAAAAAAAAATATTTTAATTAAAATGTAGTTATGTTATTGTTTTATAATAGTAATCAATATTAATTCAAACTTATTGTTATATATTGTAATTTTAAAAAAATATTTTATATATTTTTATATATTAAATATCATTTATTTAATGAATTCAAAATTTGTCATATTATTTTATAGAAAATGTGGACACTGATGAAGCAAAGGGGTTTTTTGAAGGCAACTTCAGTCATGTCTATTTTATTTTGTATGATTGTTTTGTATCAGCTGAAACAAATCTGCGACAACGAGGTAAAAATATTTGTTGTTTTATAGATATATAATAACATATATATATGCATATATACATACATATATATCTTAAGTTTTAATAATATATAAATGCATTTTACATACAGTAATAATAATTTATAAAATTCTAATATTACCATTATTTTTTAACTATTTGCTTGTTTTCTTTCTATTTTGCTGTCAGAACTTTCCTTCCATATTGGTGAGTAATAGTAATGACTCAATATATGTTCCTTGCATGTTACAGATTAACTGTATTAATTTAAATAACACATATATATATATATATATATATATATATATATATATAATATATATATAT